TCAAAGAAAACAAGCAAACAAAAAAAATGCTTACTCCAAACCCAGAGTGGGGAGGAATGCTGGAGAGGCACAAAATCCGAGCCGTTTGAGTTCCAGTGTGAAGTTTCCACAGTCAGTGCTGATTTGTGGAGCCGTGTCACCTGTTGGTATTGGTCCAATGTGTTTTATCAAGTCCAAAGTCAGAGCAGCAGCAGTTTGGGAGAATATTTTACCGCACGTTCCTCTGCTGACTGGGGTTATAGAGACTCTGACTTCATTTTCCAGCCAGACTTGGTATGGCCTCCCACACTGCAAAAAGTACCTCTAACCGCTTTAATCATCACATTATCGCTGCACTTGATTGTCCTGGAAACTCACCAGGAAGATGAAAGTCACCAGATCCAACAACGCAGACAAGTTGCTCAGCAGGCTGATAGATGATGCAGTAAGTCACGCAAAAGGAGCCCAGACCAAGTATTGAGTGCATTTACCCTACAGTACTACATGGAGATACTGTTTAGTAGGTCAAAATCTGTATTAAAAGTATTTTTTTATTGGTCTTACGTAATGAACGAGATCTCATCTCTTTCTGCTTTTTAAACTTGTTTAAAAACACATCGTTTTCTCTTTGGCTTTTAACCCAGAGAGAGAAAGCATCTGTGACTTAATATTAGGAAAAAGTTGTCTTATTGTTTTAAAATTGTTCTTTGTTTTCATTTTTGTACGGTATTTTGGCCAGCTGCCATTTTGTATTTCAAGTGCCGTAGAAATTAAGTGGTATGGTATTTTTGAGAAACTCTGTTTTTTGTTTTTTTTCCAATAGGTTACGCTGACTAAAATTGGCAAACAATTGAAATGTATTAATGTTGTGTGTAATGAATCTTTATATAATGCATACAATTCACTTTTTCCAATTTAAATAATGCATTGATGATTACAGACTCATCTGTAGTACTATAATAAGCAAAACTACATCTACTAGCTGTCGCATTATGTAGAAGTGCAGCTTATCTTCTATTATCCCCGTGTTTCGTTTCCCATTTGAACCAATGATTAATCATCTAATGAATGTGTGCATAGGAATACATTTAGAGTCAGAAAACCTTAATTTAGTAATAGAGCTAGGTTCATTTTAATCTGTTTTTTAAAAATAACCCTGGGTATGTAAATACTGTTTCGAATCCAGGATTGGAAAAAAGGCCACGCTGTTCTGTGGGTTTATGTTCCAGATTTCCTCTTGAATACTTGGTGACCCCTTTAACCCAGAGTAACTGCTGGGTACTCCCTCCGTGAGCTGCTGTAAATGGTTTCATTTATCATTACTGACATACAGACTTTACTATAAACAAGAAAAGATACAGTACAGGGCTGAAACCCTCCACGGTGCTCCACTGGGTTCCTGTATAATAATTCACACCCTGGGATAATTATGCTATGTTGCACAGACAATATTTACCAGCTAAGCTAAACAATGGTCTAAATTGCAAATAGTTGTGGGCAAATTTTTGCCGCGCAGGAAACTTTCCTTCCCGTCCCGTTCTCAAACTCCTAAGGAAGAGAGGAGGAGCTAGTAGTAGATCTGACGCTGAAGGATTTTCTTTTCATGACAAACTCCAAAACGGCCAGCCAGGACATCCATGCTGCCACTCGTGAACCACCATCACCCTGTTTTTGTCAGAAATACACTGACCCACCTCTGAGGGTAGGAATAAGAGCAAAATCTGTCCATAAAGTTTATGGAAACAAGTCAGAGGAGTGCAGTGGACCTCAGACTGAGAGGCATGCTATCCCATCCCACCACAGTTTATTTGTGATGTGGTTTGTTTTAATAGATTCTCCGATGATTCGATGCAAGCAGCCCGCAACCCGCACGACCCTGCTATCGTAAATACAAAAATAAGCATCGGAAAGCGCTCTGACTGGTGGTAGGGTTCCCACGTGGAAGTACAGTTAAGGGAAAAAGAAATAACATATCTGATTGTGTGTGTGTGTGCTGTGCTGTGCTGTGCTGTGCTGTGCTGTGCTGTGCTGTGCTGTGCTGTGCTGTGCTGTGCTGTGCTGTGCTGTGCTGTGCTGGGGGATGAGGGTTTAAGGAAGAGGTGGCAAAAGATTGATCTGGGACAGTGTGGGAGAGAGAGAGGGAACGGGAAAAACACAACAAACGAAAAAAAAAATAATGAAGAGAAAGGCCTTGAGAGTGAATATGAATGTGTGTGTGGGAGAGAAACGATACAGTGCTGAACTGCAGGAAAAAGAAAGTCAGCCAGGAGGACGGCAGATCGATCCCTCCCCTGAGCCTCACAACAAACAGACTCTCTTTCACTCTGCATAGTTTACCTCAGCTGCAGCCTGATATCGTCCCATCAGCACTTCATGTCAGTCATACCCTCCTACCACTTATTTGTCTTAGGCATTACTAAAGCAGATGTATGCAAAAGTATAAAGAAAGAAAGAAATCCTGATTTATTTTTAACTTAATTTCCAGTAAATCCATGGTTTAATATTAATAAAAAACAAACAAACAAAAATCATTAAAGCTATGAGTCAGACTATCCTGTAAAATCAATCAATCTCCTTAGAGCACGTCATGCTCAGATTTTCTATTTGGTCAGATTTTTTTGTTGTAAATTGTAACATGATCCAGATTTTCCCAGGAAAAAATAAGATAAAAGGATATTTCCAGTAACGTCTGAGTTCATTTAAAAATGTCACTTAGCTTTTTTTCCCCCCATTTTTATTTGTAATCATAAACATGTTTATTAGTATTCTGTATGGCAGCAGCAACGCATTTAAACTTTGTGAGAAAAGTGTTTCAGTAAACTTTGTTTTGACAACTAAATGTTGGTCATTTCACGCCTTTGAAGCGCAAGTCCGAACAACCTTGAAAGGTTCTATGCCTCAATTTGTAACTTTTTTCTATCATGAGTTTTCTGTTTACTGTAAGCATTTGCAGCTCCAATAATGATGTTCCAGTGAACATCTAATGATGTTCTGGACGATCAGAATTACTTTGATATTTCATAAGCCGTAATCAGAACCACAATCAATGCTAGTAGGGAATAATACAACAATTTCTGAAAATACACTACAAAATTAAATCATATATAGAAGTTTAGCCTTTTAATGAGAACTCATCTCCATTATATTACCTAATTACAAATATCAATAAAACGACGCACAGCTTTTTATGCACATGTTGACGAAATAACTTGTTTATGTCCAATAAGCAAGCAGAAATTTGAAGGAATGAAATGGCAAGGGTTGGGTAGAAAATGTCAAAGGGGCCAAACTGACCTGAAGCCCAATGAAACACATGGAAGCGGTTTGTGAAGAGGACCAGTGCAGACCGGAATGGCCAGATATCATTATCAGAGATCAGACCGAGTTAAAATAAAAACCATCTGGCCTGGTCAGTGTGTTGCATTAAGACAGTTTTAAGGTCCAAAGGTTTCCTGCAAAACTGCCGGCTCACAAGCTACGTTTGCTAATAGGTAAAAATATAAATCAGCCTCATACTCCCAGTTATGGTACAGTCTGTCCTACTGCCATCATTCAGTCAACATCAGAAGGAAGAAAGGTAATCTGGAACTGATCAGCAGTCAGTTCCACAATACTCACAAATCATTTAACAATTTAGGTCTTGCAGGCGGAATACACCTTTTTACCCATTTTACAAACAAGGAATATGCACAGGAGCCAATAAGATGGCAACATTCAAAAAGAAATATAAATAGATTCAGACCATTATGCAAGTCCTGTCATAGTTAAATTTACCTTACCCCCATCAGTCACTGCACCATTAATCCTGGCTTGGGAAAGACGCAAAAAATGTTGCAGTGTTGCAACAAAATGCATCACCATATTTGTTAAAATCTGTCAAAGTCACGTTCTAATCCATCTACCAGACATAATTGTATTTGTATGAATTTAATTTATTGCTCCATTGTGTGCTACTGAAAATTAGTTGGATCTTTTCTTGTCGTCTAAACGGTCTTGTTGCGCATTTGTTGTAAATTGGCGCTGATCAACTAACTCCATTCGTGAGCCTTTTGTGACCCAAATAAGTACAAAATAGTGTTTGCATTTTTTTTCTTCTTCAGTAAATTTGTAATTAAATCAGCCATTTCTGAAATTTTGCACTGGAAATCCAAACTTTATTACTCACCTTTAACTTTCTTGACAGTGCACATCTGGTAGTGGAAAAAATAAAAAAAATACAGCACTCGATATATCTTTAAGACTGAACCAACATGAAGATGGACAGCTAGGGAGTATGTTAATTATTTAGCTGTGGCAGAAATGCAAGTCAGGATCTCATGAAATCATCTTGCTACTAAAAATATGTCTGGCCACATTGCAGAAGGGAAACCACAGAATCATACACTCATCTCTAACTTATGGCCTTCTACCAACCTGCAGGACAGATATGCATCCAGACGCTTTCATAGACCTACAGACTTTTAATATCTGCCTCACACACACTGCTACTCCTCCACTTAGATCACATTCCTCACAGGGACACTGTTACAGCCACTCACAATAGGGTGGACAGTGCAGAAGCCCTCTTGTTATCAGAAAGTGTGTTTACAGCTTGATTTCCGGTCACGGCTTACCAACTAAATTACTGCAGATATAATGCGAGTGTCTGTGTGTTTCAGAGAGAAGGGGCTCAGTCAGACCGGAGACACAGTGAGGTCAGGGCCTTTTCTCTCAGGGTTTGGCACCGCTTTGCTCCTATTCTTGCCCTTTCTGTCCGTCAGCCCGAGCTCCCAAGAAGCTCTAATATTAAAGCTCCCTTCAGTTTGTGTTTATGAGGCCGCCTGACGAGCATAACAGGTCTTTTTTTTTTATTCTCTTGTTAGATACGGGCCTGCAGCTGCCCCGCTGACAGCTGGCAAAAGCATTTTTTGGAGATTCAAATCCTGTGCGCCAAACCCGCCGCGACTATCTGGAAACAACTCCGGAAAAGTGGAGGCTGTTTTCAATGCAGACCGAATGATCTGGGAGGGCAGTTCACTTACCCGTCGCTGAAACCCCCTGCATTTTTTCCACAAAGTTTCTCTCAGGTCCTCCCCTGCTGAAGTCGTCTTTTTTCTCGGAGAAACTGGCAGCAACAGCGGTGGCTCCAGCGTACCGCGGACTAACAAAACTCTTAAGAGCGCTCCTCTTCTCCTCTTCGCCGACAAAAACTAACAGAGACACCGGGGACTCTTCATTGTGTCCTAATGTACAAAAATATGTTATCCAGGCCAGATTTTGTGCAGAATTAGAGCCCTGTATTCCTCCATGTAGCCCTTTCTCCTCCCCTCTCCTCCGGAGGCTGAACTCTCTCCTCTCCGTGCCGCTGGAAAAATGAATTGCGCGTTCCCGTCTGTGCAAAGCGTAAGCACGACAATCCCATTCATTTATATGTAGAAGTGAGACTTTAGAAAATAACAATAAAAAACTGTGAAAAGCTAAAGGTGTATCTTTTAACAACTGAATGTGTTTCAGCTCTATAAAACTAATACAGATAGAGTTTAATGTCAAACACTTATCAGTGGCGCTACCAAGGAGGGGCCAGGAGGCTTGACCCTAACCAATCACATTCTGTTTTAGGTTTGCAGTTGAAAGAGAGAAGGGTAAGCTTAAAATATAAAAGAGCTCGTAAAGTGATTATGGTTTAAAAATCTATGTTTTTTTTAAATTAATTAAGTCCTTTGATACAGTGAATTTCCAGTTTATATTGTTATAAGGACAATAGTTGCACACAAATAGCTAAAATCTGCACATATTTGGAACCCATCTCTTAACAAGTCAGATAATTGTCTGCTTTTTAAAACGCCAATTAACATGTATGGTAGACTGCCACAGAACCTAATATGGTGGTCCTTATTTCCACTGTTCAGACAACCTCAAGTCCCCCACTGGATATCAAGTCCAATGAAAATTAAAGGCACTCAGACTGAAAACACTCGTATCTCAACTTCCCACTCTGCATTATCTTTACCATGTTTTATGTGCTTTATGGGGGGGAAAAATGCACAAATAGGCAAACTTTCTGTGAATAATGTGGAGTTGCACTTCACAGGAAAATCAATGAATACAGAACAACAAATAGGCTTGGGTTCACTGTATCTCCATATTTTTGAACTACTTAAGCCTGGTTTTTGCTTAAGTCAATTTGCTAGCTAAGCAGAGCTAATTTTCGCTACTATGCTAATAGCATGTTCAAATGAGCTAATATGCTATATTTATCTAGTAAGCTAACATCAACCATTATTGACTATAACAATATGAAAGTACGTAACACGTAACATAAAATTGTAACATAAATAAATATGTGACGCTAAAGTCATGAGGTGGCAAAGGCAGTAAGAGTTTGTCCTGCAATCAGCGAGTCACTAGTTCAATTCTCAGTCCATGTTGTTTAGTTCTTGGGCAAGATGCTTCACCCACCTTTCCTGCTGTTGTTGGTCAGAAACACTAATGGTGTAAAACTGCAGCCTCACTTCTGTTAAACAGTGGCTATTATCCAGAAGCTTATCAGTGTTTGAATGTGTCCTTCTAGATCTCAATTTGACATATATCAATAAAATGTATAATTACAAAGAGCTGAACATTTTGATATATCAAAAGTTGAAATAACATAAATGTTTCAAAGTAAATGGAGGTTAAAACACACACACACACACACACACATAGAAGAATTGTAAAAGAGTAAGAGGATCTCAGTATGTTCTAAAGTTGTATCAAACTCTATCCTTTTGCTTATTCTAATTCATTATGAATTGCTTTCTATTTTCAAGCACTGCTGTATCTTCAGCAAATGACATGCCCACTGGCACAGAGGCATGACACTGGCTGTCACGTGAAGTCATGAAAAGGATGAAGAGGCCCGTTTCAATAGGCGGCTCTGCATGGAGAGCTCCACATCTGCCAAGTAGTGTGGAAAAAATCTTGGAGCACAAACTGGGGCAAGGTTTCCATGTCACTGCCCAGGCTTTCTCCGGATCTCCTAACTGATTCCAAGTTTTCAGAGTATTCAGTGACTGCTGTGATCTTAATAAGCAAGAAGAAATGGACAAGGGAGGAAAAATGCTGGGATATGCAGTCTTGGTAAAGTAAAGCCTTTTTATTTGTGTTTACCTTAATCATTTCCATCTAAAAGTTGAGGTCAGGTGGTGCTAAAGTTTCTTTTTGTCATTTTATATCTGATTTGCTGTACATTCATTTTAATTTATATTGCAACTTGTGATAAATTAAGTTAAATCTTAAAAAGCTCCTAAGCAATAGCCTACAAATGGTTTGATTGAACAGAAAACAATAGGATTAGGAAAAAATTGCATAAAAAAATAATCTATGAACAAACAAACGTGTCCAGCATTTTGATGCTATATTATGTGCTTCTTTCCCTCTCTCAATTCCTTACACATTTTTTAGCTCTAAGATTTATTGTTGAAATCCTCCAGGTCCCAAACCTTTGAGCTGACAACATCCAACCACCTCAACTGTAAATAACATAGTTGCAGCTCCACCCTAAACAGCTGCAACAACAAAAACAACAGGCTGATCTGCTTATGGATGATTAATAATTCAATATTAGTCACAGAAGCATCTACAGGGTTGGTGATTAATCTTTTCATTGTCACATTAACCACATGAAATCCTTCCTTACTAATGTTTTCTACAGCCAATCCTTAGAGGTGTGTGGCTGCCATCAATCCCTACGCCTCTCTGTGTCCGCACTCACTCCTCCTCCTCCATTCATTCGAAACTTGTCTATTCAGACACGCACCATTAAGTTCTTTGTTGCAGCTGCTTTGGCTGCACGCTTGCCATCGGCTCGGATCGACACACACAACAGCAGAGTCTCTAAATGATGGTCTTCCTCTGTGTAGCCCTTCTCCCTGAGCTGTACTCCTCTTTGTGCGCCCATCGCTACAATCAGAAACAATGAGGTGTACTCCAGTTTAAAAAAAAAACGTCATTTTCTTTCGTTATTTGCTTTGGATTCATTCTAAGCGTGTTACCAGAGAGAGGGTTTTGATGGTGAATGAACTCGCGTTTGTTATAGCAGAGGCCTCAGCTCCTTCTAATGCTTTGAACGGCCTGTCAGTACAAACGGAGCATGCTGGCCCACAGAAAGGAGCTCTCTGGGAGAAGTCCTCTGTTTCCCCTCCCTTGAAGTTCTTCCAGTCACAACCACAGAGCAGAGAGAACATTCATGAAGAGAAGAAAATAAAGAGAGGGTAGAAACGTTAACAGGAAGAGGGGGAAAGGTGAGAGACAAAAGACAATTAGGAAAAAAAAAAGAAGATCAGAGCATCCAAGCTGAACAATGGGTGTGAAAACCAACATGTGTGTTAGATCAGCTTTTTACACTCATCTGGGTATAAATATAAATACACCAATCATATGACTGATCACACCACACAGACGTGCCAATCTGTAGCTTTTCACTCCTTTTCATGTGCAAATTAAAACCTCACACTGTGGTTATCAACATCTCATCTGATATTTGGCTCAGGCAAAAGCTGCTGATTGGAGACAGTAGTAGAGACATTTAAAACCTCTGTCTACGTTACGTTTAGGGAAAGAAGCTGAGATCACACTGCATAGCTGAGACACGCCTCAGCCTCCTTTTAATTAAATTATATCTTCCTCCGTAGTGCAGTTCAGAAATGGGATTTTTGTTTGTGTGTGTGTGTGTGTTCATTGCAAACCCGTCTATGTGAAGCACGTGTGCTGTTGACCATCTGATCACAGCTGCTTGTTCCTTCAGGCTCCATGTAGATTTATCACATGGCAGCACAGTCTGACTCACATGAAAAAAAAAAAAAGACTTTTTGTGAGAGCTGAAGAAACACTCACTCTTTTTTTTTTTTAAGGCAAATACTCACCGTTGTGGTAAGTATTTAAGTATTGATGCGGAAACAGTTGTGGTATAGCGACCCCATGTGGCAGATTTTAAAAGTGCGCAAGATATGAGAAGCGAAACAGCTGCTGTAATAGGCGGACTCAGCTTCCGCAGAGCCTAAATAGAACCACCTGTATATTAAAAGGGCAGGACGGATGGTATGCCGACCCACATTTCTTACCGTCAGCTGTGGGTGGATTTGAGAAGGGAGTGGCACTAACAGCAGCTCCAGTATGATCCCCGTACTGACCTCTTGTCTCTGTCTGACATTCAATTCAATCAGCGCTGCATATGGCACGTGGGAGCAACTGGTTCATCATGGCAGTGTGTCAGGGTGACATGATGGATCATTCATCTTACAGATCTCATGGCTAATCCTAGGTAATGTTAGCAGCTGCGTTAATATTAGGTTTCTCATGCTTACTGTTAGGTGATCCGGTCATTTCTTTCAAGTATATGTATTTTTTGCATTTGTTGTCTTTTAACCACAGTCCCCAACAAATGTTATTGGTACTGTATGCAACAGACTAACACAAATAAGTGTAGAATTGTAGAAATGTGGGAAGAAAACTTATTTTACATTATTTTTTTAAATATAAAAGTACTTTTGTTTTCAGCCTCTAAATAAAATCTTGTGCAACCAACCTCAATGAGGAGTATTGCATTCTTGCAAGCGCAGTGCAAGTTAGAGAAGCGGGAAAAAAAAAGTCCAATTAGACTCTGGAAGAGCTGCAGTGATCTCCCACTCAGGTGGAAACTTCTTTATGGAGGGTTGGCAAAAGGAAAGCCTTTGTTGAAAGAAAACCACAAGGAATAACATTTCTAACATACAGATCACCACGTAATACATGTATTTACTAATCTGTCTGATTTAAAGATTAGTTTGATGATTTGAATTATTTAAGTGAGACAAAAAAGCAAAATCAGAAAAATCTGTCAGGAGACGCATTACAGCTTTGCGTTGAAGGGCAGTATTATGTATTTTCCAGGCACATTGTGCTATAAAATAGCACTATTAAGTAACTATGTTACTTTCAGCTGTTGACATGTTAACATGACTTAAGATAAATTTAACTTTGCAAATTTTCAATGCCTTGAAATTGGGCCAGGTAGGGTTTGAGCTAAAAAAAAAAAGTACATTTTACTTAAGACCCCTTTAACATTTCAAACGGTCACATTGTAACCTCTTAAAGTTGATAAAAAAAATATCTTATATCTACAAATCACATCAGATAATGTCTGATTTTCAGTTTGTCTCTTTAGCTCTGAAAACTATTAGTCAGAAAGCCGGTCTCCACAGCCTGGAAAAAAAGAAAAAAAAAATCTGAATGACTATAGGTCAAACTTTGTTCGATCATGTGTAGGCGTGTCACCAGACGGAAGTGAGGAAATGGAGAGAAGCAGGAGAGGGAGGGACAGAGGGGGAGGAGAGAGATTTAAGTGAGACAGCAGAAAAAACACAGGGAGAAGAGCTGAGAAGGGGGATGGAGGTGCCTTTGTGTGTAACGTGATCACATCCTGCAGCCCACTTGGACAGCTGGGAAGCCCCCTTCCCTTCCCCCTTGACTTCCAGCTGGGAACACTCAGACGACAGACACATCAGAGAAGAAGAAAATAGACGTCAACCCTTCATCCTCTCTTGCTGTGCATGAGCTATAAATAACACTGAAACAAAGTGGAACTTAGTCACATTTATTGATTTTAACCAGTATGACTCCCCTTACACAGCCACCCCACCTCTCAACTAGAAAACAAACACTTTTAGAGCAATAATTCAGCAGTAATACATCAAACTCAACTCGCTCCTTCTAATTTTTTTTTTTTCTTCCATTTTTCTTTCGAAACGTCCCGGACGAAACTTTACATGTTTGTTTTCAATCCTGTGTAAAGGTCCCATGACTGAGGAACATGCATATGACATTTAGCTGGAATCAATATGCCACTAATCATAATGCACATTATTGATAAGAATACAGTACTGCATCACAGTTCAAATAAATACCAACATACAGGTGAAGTGGTTATTTTATATAAAGATATCAAACTCTTATGGATCAATACTGAAAGACAATATGACAATAGTTTGCACTGCTAATTTTATTATCACAATGCTATAGCTTCCAGCAAACAGAAAACTTTTCAGTTGAAAAAAAAAAAAAAAAAAAAAAAACGTAAAACAGCATCTGAATTGCACTTTAATTGTTCAGCTTTATCTCCATATTGGTAACTTTTAACGCCTCAACAAGCAAGCATTGGCTGTAATGGCACTATTCAAGCTTGTTGATGCTAATTTTTTTGTTTTCTGTTTACTGAAAACATAAATGTTGAAAACATGATGTAAAAAAAAGAGATAATAATAATAATAATAATAATAATAATAAAAAACAAACTCAAAAAGAGACAAAAAGAAAAGAAAAAAAATGTGCAGCAAGCACATTTTTTCCCCCAACAATACTATTAAGATCACATTACCTTCACCAAACACAGCTAGAGATGCGTAGATGTTTCCAATTGTACACCGATTTGCCCCTCAGCACATTTAGTTCAACAACAGGAGGCCAAAGGAATTCTTTTGGTTCCCAAAGTTTGATAAAAAAAAAACAAGAAAGAAAAAAAACAACAACCTTTTCTTAATACCCCTGAATTACTTGATCACTGACCTGCACAATTCAATACAATTTTAGTTATTGAGCTAATTTTAAAACTATTACCTCTCTCACGCAGAAAAAGGGGCTGAAATCACTTTGCTCTTTATTGCTGCTCATAGTCAGTTCAAACCCCATGTCCCTCACCTATAAAAAACAAAAAAAAAAACGTAAAATCCTAATCTAAGATTCTCCCTTGAAACAATGAAAGGCACTACTGGTCAGAAACGAAGAACTAAACAAACCAACTGAACAGAAAAACCCAAAAGCCCAGGTGCCCGCTCGCACGGAGAGCCGCGGCCGCCTCGTCTTCTTTCCGAGTTCTGATTCTTGTCGACCTAAACGGTGTGCCAACATTTGGCACAATAAAACGAAGAGAGAATGAAGCAATTCCAATTTGGAATTTAATAGTCGCAATTTGCAGAGAATTCTGAAGGCCAGTGATCGGTTTCGATGGAACGCCCTCGGTAAGAAGCTCGGAGAAAACCTCGTCACGCCAACCCCAAATTCAACTTACCCATTTGAATCAGAGCGTTGTCAAGTTTCATTGCGTAAAATTTTTTTGTACTATTCCTAGGAATAATAAATACATGAAAAAACCCCAGAATCTGATCACCCTGGATTTTTTTTTATATAGACCATGGCAGTAGAATGAACATACAAAGAAAAAAAACAACATAACATGTAAAACGTAACAAAACCATTTAAGAATGGTTACTTGATGGATAAAATCTTGAGGACAGACTCATAATAGTCTTATGGTTTGTGGAGCATTTACTCAAGTAATTAGTATATTTAATCTGTGTTAAACTTAGATTGGTTAACTCACAAACCATAGTACTACCACGCTTTCCTATTAGGTTAACAATAATATGTTATAATCCTATATAATCAAAGTGCACATAGAGAAAAAATAAAATAAAAATATAAAATAAAATAAAAACAGCTCGTCTACAATGAGAAACAGCCACATGTCCCCTGGCTTCTAATTGGACGGTTAGATTAGCCAATCATAATCTGTTCCAGAATGTTCACTGGACTTGTGAGAAGTTTGCTTCCAGCAGCGATGCACTTTTTAAAAAAAAAAGAAAAAAAGATTTGATGTGCCACATTTTAGTGTTCAGATGTAGAAGGCAGACTAGTTTTTCAGTCTTTACGTCCAAATCGGCTACAGTTCTAAGAGTTTTTGGAGCTGCGAGGGAGAACTCTGTGTTGGTACTCCGTCGTCCTCGAGGAGTTACTGTAAAATTACTGCAAAATGGAGACATAAAGAAATGATCAGCATCGTTAGCGTTCAGGTTGTCTGAAAGCAGCTGTCAGTAGAGTCAGGTGAGGAAGAAGACGGCAGCCGGTGTTAGTCAAAGCAGCAGAAGGCGATTTTAGGAGCTCAAAGCCAAATATGGTCTCATTTTGAAGTTTTTTTTTTTTTCCAATAAATTAAAATTGGAGCTGCGCACACACTGCATTTTACCCCGCAAGTGCAATTAAGGAAGCCAAAAACTGTCACAAGTGCTGTGAACCTCTCTTCTAAAGACAGCGATGAAGCCACAGAGAGATGCTATGCGGGTTAATGAAAAACGAGTAAAGTTTTCACATGCAGGCTTTAACGAACAAATACAAGATGTGATTTGAGGTGAAAACTCAGAGGTGATGAGGGAGAAGCCTGCAGGCGGAGGTAGGAGGAGCTGCACAGGTGCCGTATTGCAACGACACCGGATTAAAAGTTAAAACACATTGATTTCAAATTCGACGGGGCAGTCGACACTCGACTAAAGGATTCTAGTCACGATCACATCCTGAGATCTATCTACAGCTCAGTGAAGCCACAGAGCCTATACATGGGAGAAGGTCGGATCATTTCAATCAATGTCCTCGGGTCAAACTGGGTGACCGTTTATAGGTTTCCTGCCTCTAAATATCACCAGGAGTTTCTCCCTCTGGAAAATCCTGGACTTGTTTCTCCACATTACTAGACAGACATCTGGTTTCTCCCTCCTTTTCAGCAACCAACTGATAGAAACTGAATGCATTCTACTTGTATGTTGAGTGATTATAAAACATAGAAGTAAGTGACCTCTAAGGAGGCTCATTTTTTTCATTACATCGTACAACAGCCTCTAGTGCTTTGTGCTGTGGCTTACTGATCCACGCTCAAGCAGGGTTGATCACCAACAGTTTTCCTTTTTTTTTTTTTTTTTATTATTATTAGGAATCAATCCGCATTGCATTGTATCAAAGATGGAGGAATACTGTCGTAGGATCCTGCAAGATTGCAACCTGAAGGATTATATCAAGAATATAGAGTTTAACATAGAGCTTTGTAGCGTTAGAAAATGGTTCAATTTAAAAAAAAAAAAAACAAACCTTGCAGGATCACCTTCCATCAACCCTGCTTTTAACATCATAAAGCGAACATGTTTATGATCCACAAGCATTACATGGATTTAATAAACACAAGCCCCACTTTTAATCTTATTTTACTATTTGCTTAATACTAGCCTGCAATGGTTTAAAGCTATTGTAAATACTAAAACAGTGTGCGCCGTGTCGTTCTCGCACACCAAATGACACGGCAATGAGAGGCCCTCGTTGTGCAAATGGTTAAAAACATATACCCACGCATACACACACGAGGGCCCCTTCAACTTCCCAACACTGAGATATACACACGCAGCGTAACGAGAGGATGTTACCTGACAGAAATATTTTCCTCACAAGTCCTCTTTCTAGTTAAAGGGTGATTGGTGATGCTGAGGGAGCAAGCTGCTGACAATCTACGAGAGAGAAGGCGGTTATAGCTAACAAGACACTCGGATTGAAGACATAGGAGAGGTTTTCTTCATTTTTAGCTGTAGGCATGGGCTGGTTACTGGCATCAAGGTGTGCCACGGTTTTTAAAAGGAAAGGTTTCAAACTTAGCGATGCTCCTCTAACATCTGTAGCTATGAGCTATGTTTTAGTAACAATAGAAACAAGCACTGATTTCTGTCTTCAACAAAAATAATTTCTCACATTATACAATTGTGTTCAAAATTAGTCATATCCCTGGCAGATGTAGATTTAAAGTAATCTTTTAGTAATGTTTTGAAGTCGGCCAGAGTCTCGACTGGAATCCAATTGAGAGCTAAAGATTAGGGTGATGGCAAAGAGGGCTTCTATCGTCTTAGGGCTTAGAGCTCGTTGCTAAATGCTCAAAAATAACTCATGACAGGCCTTTAGCTGCCAAGAAATGCTTTTCCATTGATTATTTATAGAAGTATGGGTATTTTGATACATTTTATAAATAAGAAGACAAATTGTTTTTCTTCGAAAGTTAAAAATGCCTTTGAACATAATGTTTTGTCTTTTGGGAGACTGTTGCTTCATTTACAACCAGGAAGTCGCTTCCGGCAGAATGTGAATAATTTTCAGTTCAATTCAACAATTTTGAGCTAAGCTAAGTTCCATAAAAAAAATAAAATAAAAATAAATAAAAAAAAAAAAAACTGTGAAATTGTGGTACTTTTACTCAATCTTATACAGCTGTGGCTACAATGTAGCTTATAACCATCAGCGTGGGTGAATGACTAAAGGTAGCATGAAGCACGTTGGGGTCCTCTAGACTTGAAAAATATGATAAACAAGTACAGGCTATTTACCATTTAAACTATGAACATCTGGTACCGGCCCATGCCTACTCGGTCACATGACTTTATGTTCTCTATTATACCCTGGAAAGCTGTGGCGCAATCTCCTACAGATAAAGCAGGAACATGATAATGAGTGGGGGAGAGCTGAGACATGAGGACGGGGCTTTGCATCATCGACAGATAAATACACTGAATGTTTGCATCGACAGGCACTTTCGCCGAGCGGTCAGTTTTGCTTAATCCAGATTTGAGGAAGTTCCTCTTGAAATAATTTGTGCTCTTCCAGAATTTTGCTGATTTAAAAAATAACCTTTGAAACAAAACTATATTGTATCTCTGTTCACAGTAAAACAGAAGAAGTAACCTGAGGCACCTATGTTGAAGTGCACTTAATTTGGATGCGAAGATCGATTTGTCAAACGTTCTCCTTCTCTCTCTCTTGTGATATGGCTCTGATCGGACCCGACGCGACACGTCGGGTCGCGCGGAGCTCACAGCCCCTCCTGTGTTTCACCGTACACCAATTAACTGTGATTTTTGCAATGTAGAGCCCTGCAGTTCATCTGATAACACACCTGATGACAGAAAATAACGGTAAATCTTTGTTTTGTTTTTTTTTTTTTAAGCGTTTTCAGCTGCAAAGCCATGCAATCCTACTGACGTTATTGTATTGGTGTGCTAGCATCACAGCTTTAAACAGATCCTGAAATATACACCTGCGGTCACAGGTGCTCCTTTTTCTGCCCGAACCTTTTCATTATAAAACCAAGAAACCTTTCCCCTCCTCCCTTTCTCAGTTTAAATTGGTACATAGATTCATTTTGATGCTCCCCTAGCCACAAAGCAGAGGGAACTTGCATATTTTAGTTCATTTTCTTGTAAACATCAGTTACTTGATTTAAAAAAAAAATGGGCTGCCGCATACAGGAGTCCTTGGTCAGGATGGAAAGGAAAGGAGAGAAGTTAAGGGCTATTTTCATCAAAGGAGCACCGACAGACACGCCAAACAGAGGATGTCGTTCAGTCCGACATCTTTACATGCCTCCACACCCCCCACCATGTGCTTATGTTACTGGGCCAGGACAGATAAACACAGAAGCTGCAACCTCTTACATCATAGGTACAGCACCATGACAGCGGAAAGAATAGACACTCCATAAAATCCACAACACCCCCCTGCCCCCATTATAACCAGGGCCCTTGAACCCACATGCCAGATATGTCTACTACAGTCCATAGCACACTGTACATACATCTGCATTCCCCTATGTGGTTACACGAGCACAAACGAGCAGCCGGTTAGTAACGCAGCAGTCCCTACAGGAGCGCAGGCTGGCCGGGGAGCAAAGCGAGCGAGTGGGGCTCTTTAACACTAAGGGCAGGGAGGGTTCGGCCCCCCACCCTGCCCTCTGTACACAGCAGTCCAGCTGGACGTCCGAGCCGCCTCTCAGTCGCAGTAGATCTTGTACTTCTCACTGCAGAAGATGGCGGGGCCTCCCAGGATACCGTTGGGCATGGCGTTGTTGAGCTCGGGTCGGCCGGAGCCAGAGCAGGTGAGAGTCTGACTTACGTGGGGGTTGCTGGTGGCGGCGGTGCCGGCGGCCTTGCTGCGGGCCTTGGAGCGCCCGCTGCTGCCGCCGCGTCGGGTTTGCTCGTGGTCGAACTCCAGGTCCTCCAGGCGCTGCGTCAGCGCCAGCTTCTGCTGGATGGCCATCCTCAGCAGAGAGTTGAGGGTCTTCTTCTCGTCCTCGGCTGCGGCCAGCTGCCTCTGCATCTCCTCCAGCTGGGTGACGTATTCGTCGCAGCTGCAGGAGGGAATCAAAGAGGAAAACGTGAAGCTTGACCCGCAGGTTCACCACAACCTGAATTTCTCACAAAACATTTTATACAGGAATATCCGTCTAGTGACCATTAGGCAGCAAATACTTGGTCAGGGATCCTTTCGCATGAATAACTGCATTAGTGAGGCGAGGCCCATTCTGCACACAATCTTTTAACAGTCATAGATTCTGTGCAGAAGAACCCCATCTTTGTCAAAGTACCACTAAATCTAACCTTTAGAAATATCAAGAACCTCAGTCGTTTTTGTAACCACCAGATGGCAGCAACAAGCCACAATGCTCAAGCTTGCGCACCAAAAATGTTCCTGTAATACAAACTTCTGACTCAATCAGCCATTTTGCCACCTCTGCTACAAATACTGCATTCAGTATTTGAATGCTCTAAAATCGACTAATTATTAGAGAGTATTAAAGTAATTTCCAAGTTGAACAACTTGTTTAAAGCAATCTAAATCCTCTAATTTTAAATTTTCTTTAATGGGGAATAAGTGATATGATCAGGTGAGACACAAAACTCAGAGTTTCTTTACATAAGCTCCGAGCAAGGATGAAGGCATTAATGCATTAACTTTGTGGTCATTCAGTAACGAAGTGAAAGGATGAGAAGAAGACTCTGCTTTGTTACTCTCACCAGCTGCAGTGAAACTTCGTTCCACCCAATCCATCAAACACATTGTCTCAAAAATGCAGTATAACTAATAACTGTGTGCAGGGCTGCTGCATTATGTCCTGCCCCTCATTCCGAGTGTGTGTGTGTGTGCCTATGTGTGTGTGCCTATGTGTGTGAATGATTTAAAGCTGGACAGGTAAGAAAACCGGGTCACTCAACAGGATTGGGTTTGGATTGTATCTCCAGTCTCCATCTGCTGTGGCAGCACTCCTGTTTCATTTTCATCCTCCTCCTCCTGGGTCTTATCTCACTTCACAAGCCTCAACATTTCTGCTGCTTGTATCAGAGCCTTTCAGTCTCATTTGTGCTCATCAACACTTTCTTTGTTTGCTGGTATACAAATGCAGCGGGCTTTTTCTTCATCGAGTGAAGAGGAAAATACAAAGGACTTTTGTTTAATTTTCTTGGCAATTTAGTAGCGACAACCTACTATTTTGCAAAGCCTGATTAGTGCCGTTAGTGCCAAGCCAGGGCAAGTTTATTTGTATAGCACATTTCTCCAACAAGGCAATTCAGAGTGATTTCGATGATGAACTGCTTGTTGTTTTACTCAGCAAACCATTTTGGATAGAGACGCACAGATCAGGTTATTCTTGGCTGACAAGGATTTCTGTTTTTTAATATCTGACTTTGCAATTCTGATTTATTTTCCCCAAGGACTGGAGCACATGAAATAGAAAATATCCCATAATGCATTTCTCAATATCAGTCTAGTTTGTAATGCTTAGACATAAAATTGTCACAAAAAAGCCCAAAAGAACTCAAAGAACAAGTGGGACTGCCAACACCATCTGGGAGAAAACCTTTTGGAAAACTTTGTTGTGAAGTCAAAAGTCATCCGTGCCTGCAGATGTTTTTGTTGTGTTCAGTTCTGCACGTGGTTCATGGCCATGTGAACTCTGCCCTTACCAGACCACCACACAAACAAACTAACACCTCCACCCCTGAACCTCTGCTCTGCTCCACTCTTTGGGACACACCCAGACAAAAGGGATCAGTGCCTCTTCATTAAACCCAGTGTGAGTCTCTGGGGGGGCGCGACCCTGTTACGTGTCTGGGGGGGGGGGCGCTAGTGTCTCTTCAGACTGCTCAGTGTGTCTTGCCTGGGAGTGGGAGGTCGTGCGATTTTTTTTCCCGGGAAAAAGACGACGGGATACAAAAGGAGCCTTTTTTGGCCTGCTGATGGGGTCATTGTAGCACGATAAAGGAGGAGAGCCAGGAGGCGGCTGCAGGCTTGTGTAGGATGAATACAAGTCGTAATGACGGCTGTGACAGACGAGCATATTATCTGCATCCTTTGTGGAAATGTACAGTGGCTCACTGCATCTTACCGCCCTCACAAACAAGATGTTTCATGACTGAAACTGACCTTAAGGCATATAAACAACCTCCTGAGGTGCAGTCCTGATCTGAACATGACTGATCACGTTGAGATCACACAGATAAAACGAACAAAACAATTTTTTTTTTTTTAATAGTATGAACACAACAGGTTAGGGTTACACGAAATGGTTTGACCATTGATCAGTGAGAGCAGAAAGGGAGAGCATGTCGAGGCATGTCTGAGGAATGTTGGAGGCAGGACTTTAACTGTTAACATGACACCAGGGCCCGCAGCTGGAGGGGCTCAGACTCTCGCAGGGAAACAAAGAGGAGAACGTAAACACATGTGAAAAATATCCCATGGCCTTCCCACTGCAACATCCACTCCTGTTTTCAACAACTCCATAAGTAAAGTGTTACAACAAAACCCTAAGCTTTCCCCAATTCCACTCCATCTCCGGGTTTTTCTTTCGTGAGGACCACACATCATTTGCGTGTGAGAGATTTTTCCCCAAATCCCCCTTTTCATTACTGTCAGAGGCGATCACTCTGAAAAATTGGGCTCCTGGAGTGGACTTCAACTACGAACCTGGTCCTTCCTCTTGTCACCAGATGCTTAAAGATGTGTGTGTTTGGTGCTGCGGAAGCACAGGAGGGGGACAAAGGATACAAAGGAGATGGGGAGTGTGGGAAACTTCACTCAGGCAAGTCCCCCAGCTTTTCAAAGACCCCCTGACCCAAACTCTGTGCCGTATAAGCACAGAATTTACATACCAATGCATGAATCCCATAAACAGACTGAATGTAACCCTACAACAGTAGTGGACAACCGGGGCTGGGCGGGCACAGAAACAAATGTCATCTGAGGTAGGCATTTTGAGCATGTCAATGAAAAGATGCATCGATGGCAGGTTTTAAGTTACAAGAACAGCATCTTCAGAAAAGCAGAGTGTGGAAGACTAACAAAACTGACAATGTGTAGAGACCTGTGTGTAAGCAACTGTAACTACCTGCTGAGACACTGCTCTTATATAGCGTTACATCAGAAAGATCAATGCAGATGAAGGTAAGGTTTCAATTTCGACACGGGGAAGATGAGGTCCTAAAAGCTGCCAGTAGCCTTCCTCCACTTTAAAATTGCATTATCATCTCAGAGTGCCATCGCTATAACGATTTATCACTCAGTCGTGCATTGAAAAGCAGTTCTAAGTGCAGGAAGATGGACCGACTCTGCTATGAAAAACGCATTCAAATGCATTTAAATTTAAAATCGTACAACAAATACACACTTTGTTAGCTTTAACACGGGGTATGACCTCCTACGTACACATAACGCAGGTAAACAAATAAGCAGTGTGTGTCTGCTATGTGATGAAAGCATAATCGCAGCCAAGATGAGGTGGGATTATGGACACAACCTCTGACCGGCTTCTCTTGGGAATCAGAAAAGATTAGTGAGTATGTCGGCCCATCCGAGACACAAACACACACCAAGTCAGGAAGCAAAACCGATGCTTAGGTGACATATTTTAGCGCTAAACAGATGAGACTCGTTCACTCTTAAATATTCAGTCTCATCATAATAAAAGACCTTTTCTTCCTTGGTATGAATAAAACTAGGGGAGCTCAACCTTGGCAGACACAACATATGGCAAAGATGGATTACATTTTAACAATAATCCTGTCTTTAGCTACCTGCTTTCTGTGTGTTTGGCCTCTGCATGCAACAATAGCTCTAAGAATAACACCCCTTCCCTTTTTTTAACACGAATTATACTTGTCCGGTTTCCTATAGTAACATGGCAGACTAGCACAGATTAGGATTGATGCCAGTTCATTAGTGTAAAGAGGAAATGCTGCCTAAGGCAATTTACCAGGAGATACAAACATAGTAAAGATTTGAAGGTTTTAAAATGCTTTGTCTCATGAGAGGTGCTTCTTACCGTGTGGCAAACATAGCTCGGAGAGAGGAGAAGGTCGCAGCGTCTTCCTTCAGAGCCTTCAGCTCGTTCCTCAGCTTCATCATCGTCTCCGTCACCATGGCCTTCTCGTTTTCATACTTGCTCTTCAGATTGGCCAAAGCAACCTCAGCTGTCTGTGAGTGAACAAGAGGAAATACAGAGTGAGAATCGCTGGTAAAAATGTATTTTCTGTCAGAGCAAGCAGAGACACTGAGAAATCAGCAACATATTCAGACAAATACAAGAGAATGCAGTTTGAGGACTTAAAAAAATAAAATCTACCTGCAAGGCAACGCTTAGAAGTCTTGCTGTAGGTTATAATATACAATTACATTAAAATATATGTGACATGTCACAATTTCTATACTTTGTACATGAAAATGCTTTTACACCATAGTTTGTTTTAAAGAAAATGTTTACAGATACAAAATAGAAATTTTAAGGGACAAAATTGATAAATGTCATAGGGATACAAATTCTCTCAAAGCCTCTTCCAGACTGTACAGGTGACAACACTCTTTTGTCTGGAAGTTGTTACTTAGGTAAAAAGAGTAAAAATTAATCATCAATCAACCACTGAGGTGTTACAAAATTAAGTAAATTAAGTCAGGAAAAGCCGATTTAAGAAGCTATTTAAAAAATAAACTATTTTCTGCAACATGTTGTGTCTGAATAAATCAGACAATATGACTTTCAAAGGATTCCAGGACGGTTTTTACCCGTCATGGAACATGACATGTGGAAATGTTGCCATTTGCTAGTATAAGATGCTAAAGACAGTTCAACATGCCATCTTAGAAATCAGCAAGTGTAATTTGCTGTAAAATCTCAGAAAAATACAATTTCTCTCTCCAATACTGAGGAAGTAAAGAACCACTTTTCTGCCCTCACAGCAGGAAGGTGGTTCTTATAGTATCATCATGGCTCTCAAAGAGAAATCAGAACCAGCTGCCAGACTGGAAACATCCCACAAAATTCTGGTGCATCTCTACAAACAAGTCGTAACTGTAGAAACATCCTTAAATCTAAAAACAAATTAATTGCCGACTCAGTCTACAATAGTCTGCCTCTCAGTTACCTCTGTTTAAGTGGACCAGTTCTCGCAGCTGAATGTCAAATGCTCATTTACAAGCTGTTATTTGTTTTTCTATGTGCTCTCAGTGAATAGCCCCACACATAGCTTTAAGGGCTGCCACAGCAACTGCAAACACACCCAACATTAGGGCTAAAATTCTTTGCATTTCACCCAGCAGCTCTGTTTTCCTAAACACACCGATACTCAGGGCAGCTGCCACCATATGGGTGCTTCCTCAGCGTGTGTTTGCGATTGTAACCCGTCTGCAACCTGTTTGGTGCAGCAGCTGATCAGACCTGAAATAGCTCCGTCTTTCACCGTTTCTGCCTGATAGTAACGACAAGCAGGCTGAACAAACAATGACAGGAGCAGACAAGTCGGATCCACCCACCTGCTTGTTGGCCTTGAGGACAGTCCGCAGAGTAGCGATCTGTTCCCGTTTGGTGCTCAGCAGGGATTTCAGTTTGAGGATCTCCTCCATGCAGGCCTCTTTGTCCTTGTCTGCCACGGTGCCGAGCTCCAGAGACGCTACCCGTTGGCGCGACAGCTCTGTGGTGCGATCCACGGCCAGCTGCAGGTGCTTGATCTGGTCTCTGATGATCGCCACCAGGTTGTAGATGTTCATGGGCTCGCGACGGTGGTCCGACACAGGGGAGGGGAGAGAGGAGACGGGCGAGGGAGCGCCATCGCTGAGGTCGGCCCTGCCATGCTCTGGGAAGAGACCCTTGGTCAGCAAGATGGGAGAACGCCGACCGCGGCCCTCCGGGCTGCTCCGGCCACCTTTGCCCTCCTTGTAGAAGTCGAGCATCACTCTGTTGGGGGTCTCATTGTTGCACATGCAGACGTGGTTGTAGAGGGTGGCCAGTTCCTCGCTGAATGTTACCAGCTCGTCCTGGGCCACGCTCAGACTGCCCTGGGACTCGCCCGCCACGTCACTCAGCTAAAACACAAAGAAATAAATCAGCTCCGGCTTCTTTGGGAGCACAGAAACGGTTTCAAGGAGAAGCCTCTCACCTTGCGCAGCTCTTTCTCCAGCTTAGCCTTCTCTTCTCTCTCCACAAAAGTGGTCCTCTCCAGATTGGACAGCTTATCTCCCAGAGACCTGACGTCGTTCTCCAGACGGCTGCGCTCCTCGTCGTAGCGTGACTGACAGGCCTGGTATTCTGCTTTCAGCGTCTTCAGCTCCTCCTTCAGCTCCCCTGCCTCAGACACGGCCACCTGCCGGAGAAAAATGATGACTGAGCTTAAAAAGTCAAAACGCAGACATTTTGTTGATTTGTTCAGGAGAAGTTTGAGTTACCTTGTACTTGCACTCCAGGATCTCTGGTCCGTTAATGTCCACTTCGTAGTAGTCTCCGTCCTCATGGCTGTCCCGCTCTTTCTCGTTGTCCAAAGCAGACTGGCGCTCCTTGCTGGCTTGGAGCTTACGGATGGCGTTGAGGTTCTCAGTCAGCCGGTTGACCTTCTCCTGATGCTCGGACAGAGCCCCATTGGCCTGCTCCAGCTGTTTCTGGGAGTCCTGCAGATTGGACAGCAGGTTGACCTTTTCCCGCTCCATCTGAGAAGAGATGCACAGAGATGCCATTTATTTATGTTTTAATAACTAAATGACGAGAAATGGGACTCCCGCTTTTAAGGATAATATTAAATCAGAGGATTAACTGTCCATGTGATAAGCTGCTTCAGCATCAGGATGGTGTTATCGCAGAATATGAGGCAGAGTGCCAGCAACATCAGCATCAGGGTCAGTGTGACCTTAACGGTTCAGATCCACCGGGTAAGGGTCGTCTTACAGACATGAACAAAGCTGGGTTTATATCAGAACTGAGCTATTTCAAAAACTATGCCTACATGATATGTACCTGAAGTTTATTAGTGAAAGATGGAACTACAGGGCAGAAAATAAGACTTAAAATAAATCTGGTGGGCCTAGGTGGGCCTAGGTAAAAGCTGCCTTAGGACTTTATCCCATTAGATCTTTTTTTAGGAGCCTTGAAGGTCACATCACCCCTAAAAAGAACCAGATGGTCTGCCACCGAAACAGATGTTCCCCAGCAGCCATTTCTACATTTGATGAAGGCAAAAGACAAAAGACATAAAAATAATAATAATGATAATGTGCAAAACAATTGCTATCCACAGGTTCAGATGAGTTTCTGGTGACTATGGTACCCAGACATGTGTGATCTTGTGGCACTGAGCAAGCAGATGGCAGGACCTCCAGTGGCACCACCTGCTGCCCTGGGAGCCCAGTGGAGCCTGGAGTGTGTGTGTGTCTGGCTCTCCTTGGATTAACTTTGCTGTAATGGGATTTAGATGCCTGAGGCTGACGGGTCAGGATACAGCAAGCCTCTCCTCTGAGAAACACACCTTTAAATACAGATGAATTCTGTCCTGGTTAGAAATGGGCCAATCAGGACTTTACAGCCACCTTCTCGGACCCATTTGTGTTCTTGCAAAGCTCTGACCTGCTGATGCCGATTACAGCAAATTCCAGTTTCTTATAAAAAACACTAGATAACAAAAGAACATTCAAAAAGATTTTCTTTTTATTTAGCATTCTTTAATAATTACTTATTTTAGGAGCAGAGGCAAAATCACACCACTGTAAGAGCAGGAACTGCAAAACAAGTGTTTAAACACATTTTAAAGCGAGATCTTTTAAACTGTTTTTACATCTTATATAAGTGATAAGCACAATTTCCAAAGTTTCCTAAAAGCTGTCAACATGTGACCTGTCCAGGCTGTACCCCGCCTCTTGCCTTCTTGGTCCATTTTCAGAAATAATGCTTTAGGATAAACTAAAGATTTTTGATCCATTCAGATTTTGTCTTCTGCGATTTTTATCTGATTTTTTAAACCACTAAAATGACGTTCAACTCTAAATCTGACAGAAACAAGTAAATCTCTAAGACATGGCAATGCTGATGTGTGGCAAAGAAATGTGAACAGAGACCAACCTGCATCAGCTGCTGTTTGAGCTTCTGGATTTCTGAGATGTTCAGCTCACTCAGCAGGTCGTCGACCAGGCTGGGCACCGGGCAGAAGAGCTCCTCCTTATTAGGAGTGGAGATGCGGTTGTCCTCGTTGATGGTGTTGGCCAGTTTGGTGAAGCTGTTCTCGTATCCAAGCAGAGCCTCGTCGTTGTTAGGTTCCGTGGCGGCGTCGTCACTGAATTTGAGCCCATCCAGAGAAATGCTTAAAGGACTGAGGGTGAGATGTGGGAAATTACGTTATTTGATGCTTTGAACGTGTTCCTTAAAGCCTGACAGCAGCTTGTTTGTGTTCTGGTTACCTGTGATACAGAGTGTCTCCGATGTTCATGTAGTGGGAGAGCTCTTTCCTCAGAGAGGTCTTGAGCTCCCGCTCCGTCTTGATGGTCTCCAGGGCCTCGCCCAACTGACGTTCAGCGATTTCCTTCAGGCGGATGGCGTCCTCCAGCTGGCTGTTCAGGAACTGAGTGTCTTCTTCCAGACGACGGATCTCGTGCTTCAGACCCTCAAACTCCACCTAGACAGAGCAGAGGCAAGAGGAGTCAAGATTTCTGGAATTTTAGAAAACTCCAAAAACAAAAGCATCATTATAAAAACATATGTTTAGTACTTTAGATAATCTTATTTAAAAAAATATATATATTTGAGATCCTTCTAAATTTGGAAGAATTTTTATTGAGTATACAGTCATGTACGCATATGAGTAGGTTTAGATTAGTACAAAATAAAACACCAAAGGTTCATTGTCAGTCAGAGATTGTGGTGAAAACCACCTGTAAATATTATGACAAAAATAGTCAGCAGTAGTCAGTATGCACAAAGGCTTATAGTTCCATACAGGTTGCATTTTAATAAGCGTCATCGAAAAGTTAATTTAGTTCAGTAAGTCAATTAAAAATGAAACACTATTCAGACAGAAATTGATATATTTCAAATGTTTTTTCCCCTGCTAGTTTTGATAATTTTGACTTACAGCTAATAAAAGTGCTCAATTTGGGCTAAAAGAAATTTTTAATTCTATATGAGATTGATAAATAATGATTCAACAGTTGTTGAATCAAGGAGAAAGTGTTGCGGTTAAAGTTCCACAAGCAACAGGGACTTGTGCACCATACTGTATCAACATACTGTAACAAAGAACCTTAAGCAGCGTTAAGGTTGTTGATGTTGTTGCTCCATTACTATCTAAGGTTAAAAACAATTTGCAATACAATATAAGTATAAACTTCAGGGGGAAAAAAGGGATGTTTAGTTACAGTGGTTATTTTTTTATTTTTTATTTTTCTCATGGTGGACTTAAAACAAGTAAAACTCAACAGAGAATTGCATTACAAGATATGAAAAAGAGGCAATGTTTTTTGTTTATGTCATCAGTGAAAACAGGACAGTGAGAAGTAGATGAAATGATAATTGACTTTGGGGATTATATTTGATAACTGGCTTGTTTAAAAGGAATTCTGTCCTAAGAAGCAGCTAAATGATACTCAGAAGCAATTAAAAATTTGCTAAGAAGAAAGATCTCGAATCATTTTATAGTTAATCATCTCATCTTTTTATGCGTGTATGTGATTTTTACCGCGGCAACACTCTGCCCTCTCCACTTCCTCACCTGACTCTGTTTGAGCGCCGAGACTTGCTTCTGCAGAGAGATGTTCTCCTCCTCCAGCTCGGTGTAGTCCTGCAGCAGACGGCCCTCCCTGAACTTGTACTCCTTGATGTCGTCACGCAGCTGATTCCTCTGGAGCTCCACCATCTCCCCGTTCTGTAGGTGAGCAGAATTAGAGAAGCCGTCAGCTTGGGCGATGCCGATTTTGATTGAGGAGAGCTGCAGCACTGCAACCGTTTTTAACGTTTTCAATCTTGCTAAATTATAAAGAGCTCCCATCTGGATGAACCAAATGTGTGCTTGCTGGGAGGTAGGTGCCAGGTGTCGCTCCGGGCAGTGGGCCACCAGCTCTCTCACTTGACACTTCTAACTGAACGAAAGGGATTGAAGCCTGCCTCGTCTCTCTTAGGGACGAGTGTTTCCTGTGAGTGGGTAGAAAAGCTGTGCAATGGTCTAATTATCCAAATGAGAACCTCATTATGAGTCTTTCTTTGTATCTAAAGAGTAATCGACACAAGTGAGGAAGCTACAGAAGAAAGGTAGTGCAAAAACTGGCTGAAATGTCCCAGAAGTGTGCCAGAGAAACGTGAGGTTTTGCGTTGACTTTTTTGTTTGCTCCTATAACCAAACACCACTCTGTTTCTAATGTCCCGTAAGTGCAGTCTGATACCTCACGCTGCTCAGGCTTCATTAATAAAATAAAGCACAGAGAAGCCAGGAACAAGCCTTTCCACCATAAGGCTTCTATCTCCCTACTGAACCATGCAAAACCTTACCAGTTGCCTAAAAGGAAGTACTTCGTTGCCTAGTATGCTTAGTTACAATAAAAAAAACAAAAAAACAAAAAAAAAAACCAGCATATATGTCTGGGATTTTACATCAACTTGTTAATGAGAGAGGTCTCTCAGTCAGGAGATTACCTAATAACGAAGAGACTATTAACTATCAATCTGTGTGTGACCGTTTGGCCCCTTCCTCTCATGCCATCGCCATGTGGCCACGTCAAAATCCCCTCCTCTCGGGTCATTTTATCGGTCTCACAAAGTCGCTTTTGAGGGGGTTTCACTTAGACATGCATCTAGATTAACTATCATTATGATACACGGCTTTGCAATAGCATTCGCACCGCTGGAACCATTTAAGTTTTGATACGTTACAAAAAGACGTCTAGATTTCATTGGGATTTTATGATGGTCCAACAAGTAGCACATCATTGGGAAGTTGAGGGACTGTGTTTTATTTATTGTTTTTTTTTTCAATCAAGGAAGTACATTTGTATTTATTGTATGTATTAAATGTAGGGCAACCATTTGCTTTCAGTAAAGCACACAATTAATAAATAGAATCACTGTGCTTATAATTTAATTGTAGTATAAATCCAGATGTTCTTTGAAGGCATCAAAGGTTTGTTGGAAAGCATCAGAGAACAACAAGTATTGTGAGACAAACTAACACCAGACAGTTCAGACACAAAGTTGTAGAAACATTTAAAGCAGGTTTACCTTCTAGAACATTACGTCAAGCTTTGAACACCTCACCGTTTTCAATCCACCAGCTAAAAACATAAGAGTACACCACAATTGGAAACATACCAAACTATGACTGTGCACCTAAACTGGTAAAAAGGAGCTAAAGACAAGGATTTTAAACCAAAAAGGTTCCAGTTCTTAACCTGTCTTTTACTACCCAAGAGCTCTGTCTGACCCACGTCAATGTGTCTCCGTAAATGCCTCATTCTTTTATTGTTTGAGCCTACTCTGGTTTATGAAAGATTATAGTGCAGATCGTAGGCAGTTTAAGCTCACAAGTATTATTTATCAGAGTATCCCTGCAATTATATGCCATTAAACACCTAATTTATTAACGCTGTCTTAAACAACCAGCAGAGTTTCTGAACGCTCGCTCCTTTTACAGCTCACTTCCCTTAATATTTGGTTTGGATGAATAGGAAGGCAGTGAAATGCTGCTAATTCCCAGAGACCAAGAGTATGATCCATGTTAGCAGCTCAATAATTAAACGCCAAGTGCAGAACAGATAGATTTAAGACCATCATTTGATGAATTAAGATTCATCAGCTGCACATGTCTGATGAACCATGTCGGTGCGTTACTAAATAAAGTCGTACTTCTATAACTTCTGAGGGAGACAAGAATCAAAGCAAAGTTGAGAAAGCAGCATTAAGAGCATCACTAGCTCAGATGTCTCAGACAATATAAACAGTGAATTCATTATGTCTGTGAAGATAATCTCATCAGCAGAGTAATCTCTTTTTGTTAGCTGAACAACGCGGAGCCAGCTGGCTGCTCAGGTCTCCTCCTGGTCAGGGCTATGTGCCTCAGCTGGTGGGTTAGCTCCAGATGAAAAGACGCTGCTCCGATCTGATTGAAATGCACACATGGGTGGTGACCTTCGACCTTCTGCGTCCTCTATTACCCTGTGCCCCAGATTGGAAATTGTGTTCCAAAACTATAAAGTGCTAATAACATTTATTTTTTGTGAGGGCCGTAATGACACTCTGGGGAATGTTACTGGAATTATTCTGGGGAGCAATCTGCTGTCTTCAACAGAGCTCATTAGGAAGAAGTCACTCACAGGCTTACGTCAGGTCAGCTTGTGTCACCACAGGCGACGCCTTGACAGCTGTCCTGTCAGCCACACACGTCCCAGACGAGAGTGTCACCGGGTGGCAGAACTAACACAAGCAGGCTACGCCAAAGCGCAGAACTGTATCGTAAAATTTTTAAATTTTACGATACAGTTTTTTTTAAATTTCATTTTCCATGTTTTTTGCAAAGCTTTAACCTGATGATTAAGAATTTAGCTGGTTTATAGCCATAATTAATGTCATTTTAAACAATGAAGGATTTAGAAGTCTTTGAAGTCTTTAATGTCTTATGTTAGCAATTAGCATGACTACCATTACAAAGAGAGCAATCTTTTTGTAATCTTCTACTCTTAGTCTGCCTCTTGCTAAAGTGATGGATAGACTCTAACATGGTACAAGACTGTTTTATTTATACATTCAGCCAGTCTGACTGGGAAAATACATATTTTGCCCTACTTCTCTGCTTTCGCATAAAGCCCTGTGACCTCAATTTCCCTCTCCATCTTATTCACTTTGCACTTAAGCAAAATGTATGTCAGTTCTTTCCAAAAACATTTCCTCACAAAGTGCAGAAGCCCAGAAATGTCACGACAAAGAGACAGACAGAGAGGCAGAGCACCAGCTTCCCTGTGCTTATATTTACTCCATTTCTCTACTTCTCCTACTGACACCATTGACCTCCATCTTGCCATTTCACCATCCCTGTTGCTCTAACTTTCCCAACCCCCACTGTGCCTCCATCATCCCTGCATCCGTGTGCTTTTAAAAGCCATGCGTCAATCACTTTTATTCCTTCCCCATTGCTTAATCTATCGTCCGTCACATCTGAAAAGTAGAAGCGAGGGAAACATCTTCCTGAAATCTCTCTGCGCCATAAATTGAAGTCGGGGAAGAGGAGCAAACCAACACGTCCTTCAACATCCTTTCAAAGTCATATGAACTCACGCTAAATCTGCCAAGCCAAATCTACCTCAAATCACTTCCAGGAGAGACAGGGCATGAATAACAGATGTAGAGCGGCTACACGAACAAGGCCAAGGAATATCAAAGCTCAGAGGCATTGTGCCACAGTCAAAAACAAGGAGGGTGAAAGCCGATCCGCTTTTATCCCGGTCTTTGCTGCGAGCGGCTGCCATTGTTTGCATGGAGCTCCAACTCATCACGAAACCACAGTCAAGGTTGTATATCTAAAGGAAACAGATCATATAAAAACGTAGAGAACTCTAGAAGTGACTGGCTCGTCGTACTTTTCCCTTTGTATGATGACATAGAAACCTACAAGGTGACTCTTTCATTCCATGCACTCAGTGCGTTTGTGAATTTGACCTCATATGGGTGAGATCGAATCGGAGTGGAAAATCCGAGTTTACACCCATTAATGGAAGTGCCCATGAGGGCCTGTGTGTGTGTATGTATAAGCTGTAGTTGATTCATTAGTAAACATTGATCCACAGCAGGAAATCTCTGTGGTCTAGTGATGCAGCGGATAAATGAATAATTATACGGATCAATTGAAAATATCCTAAAGGTGTTTAAGAAACGCACCCCAAATATAGGAACCAGACTATTAGATGCACGACTCAATGTTTTGCAGAATCATTTTTTGTTACAATTATAATCCATGTCTTTGATGTCTCTCCCAGTTTTTCCACATCTAGTGATTGATTCCATAACTGGATGAAATTCATCCACAAAAATATTAAAATTCTTCCACAAATTCTCAATTGAGTTTAGATTTGAACTCACTCTAAGCTACTCTAACACATAAAAATACTTTAAAGTAGGCCACTGTTTATGTCTGGGGTCTTTGTGTCGCTGGAAGGTGAAACTCTGCCTGAGCCTTGGGTATGTTGGTCTATCACTGAAAAAACAAATAAAATCCATTGCCTGTAATTAGAATGCAATAAAATCAAAAGTTCAGGGAGCCTAATGTTTTTTCTTTTCAAGGTTCTGTATCTAAACAGGGAGTAAAACACAGTAACCCAGAAATTCATTAGGTTGTGAATCATACATGCCAGCTGGAGTAGGAATAACGCTATTAAAACAGACCGATGTATCTCAGTAATAGCCCATTCTTATCCCCCACTCCTCATATTCTGTGGCTGTTTTGGTGATTTCCTTTAGAGAAGCAGTTTGTCAGCCTTCTCTCCATTTATCTTTCCTTGCACGCTCTCCTCCTCCAAAATGCCGTAGAAAAAAAAAGAGCCGATCCATCTCAGCATTAATGTCACGAGAAATGATGAGGAGGCAGACATCAACACCCCGGAGTCCTCTAGGACTAGGAGTCTTATTACATTAGCCTCATGGCGGTAGATGATAATGACAGGGAACACAGAGCAACCTTCCTTGGATCTCTATACGACTCTAGTCAGACCTTTCAACGTAAGGCAGGGGTTTAGAAGTACCAACAAAATTGCTCTTGAGCCTCTGTGAATCACTATTTCACAAGTGAAAACATGAAGCCCCGTACTCAGATTTCTTCTGGGTATAATAAAAACAGTGGTCTTGTTTGTAGTGAGGCTCACCTCCCCAGCTTTTTCCACCCCCCTTTGAGAATTATTCCATCAGTAAACAGGACTTCTTCCACTTTCACACTCTTAAAGAAACTGAAAAAAAAACTGTGGCTACAAACTGTTAAAATGAGCTGAGAAATCTCATCATTTGAGAGCCAACGTTAGCTTTTTAAAATGGAGGCGTACAGAGGAGCTCTGGGTGGAAAACACAGTGTGAAGATAGGCTAAACCTTACTGATAACATTTACAACATGGCTATGGCTTTGCATGATAATGTCCTGACACTCATCCATCGGGGCTTCCTATTCTGTGAAGATAATGAGGCGCATCACTAGAGGCATATTCCCCACAATACATGAGATTGGATTTAATGAAGTCATGCCTATAAGCGTGCGCCTCCTCACAATGTTACTGGCTCTTTGTCTGACTATAATCCTATAGACTGAGACGTATCAGTGGAATATGTCTCATCTTTGCTTTGTGCCACCACATGAGTGTTTGGCATGAAATCGCCTGGTTGGTTTAAATGGGAAATATGGAATCAGCTGAGATGCTTCAGCTGCGACAAAATCCTGTTAAGTAAACGGAGCTTCCAGATACGTGAAATTTTGCTTTAAAACAACCGGTTTTGGAACAAAAACCATCAAATTGAGAATGTTTGGATGCATTTTTTTCCAAATATACTGAGTCAGTGGAAGCTGTTAACTAAAATATATTGTTTCTTAGACAGAAACAACTACTGCAGACATGTATGGCTAGAGTCATTTCAAACAAATAAAAGAAAGAAGCTACAGTTGCAGACTGTCAGCTGCATTCCATGTTAAACTTATGATAATTGAGTCATTCAGTCCACCTTCTGACTCTACATGATTAGCCATGCACTCTTAGAAAAAGCAGAGCAATCCACTATTGGCAATGGATTTGTGCCCATTAAGCCCAGCTCCTTCTCAAAATGGATTTTAGGTCTCCTTTTTCTTCTGTGTCAATCTCAGTGTGTCCTAGTGCCTCCCCCCCTTTCCTCTTCCAGCATCAGCTCAGGGCTAATTCGAAATCCCAGAGACAAAGGCTTCTTTCAGGCCTGCCAGTGTGGTCACAATGCCAGCCTCAGTGCCCGGGCTTTCTCCATTTGCCCACCACAACACACTCCTAGCACCCAGTAAAGTGGCACCGGTGGGGTGCCATTATCTCGAATACATGAGGTAATTTACACATCAGAACCTTTTATCCGACTAATTAGTGCGGATTGAAGTCCATTGCAATACAGCATGGTGGTCATAAAGGGAATGGCGTTGGCCAGAAAGACACCAGTGAACCACATTGCAACACAGTAAATCAGAACTGCTCTGTATTTAAATCCACCACGAAGGTATTTGTAATAAATATCCCCAGGTAATGGATTTAATGTCTAAAATGTAACAGGAAAAAGAAACCATGTTATGAGTAGATTGGTTGGCTGAAGGCACAGTGGATCAATTGCGTGGTAGAGCACATCTGGCTTCCATAATACTAACTTTCACCAACATGGAGAAGCAGCAGCTGACCTAATTATTGCTGTATTTAGAGCTTTTCAGAACTTAAGTCGTTGGCAGGAACATGCCATTTTTAAGTCTTTCCCTAATCTCTGTAAGAAGCACTGCTGACATCTGTTTCAAACAGTGACTCAAAAAACAGCAGTCGGTCTTGCAGATGTCTACGGACCAATGAGGTTTCTTCAGAAATTCATCAATTCCCTTATTGAGGACTTGACCTTAAACACAGAGCACTGGGCTAAATCTGCTGCGGATGAGCAGCTGTGTCTAACAATATTATGGAAAGATAATTAAACCGGAAAGAGAAACAGGAAACATAGTTAGTCCCATGCGGATGCACAAAGAAACCAGATGGTGATTTTGGATGGTCAGATTCATGTTTCAGACAATTAGTCAATTAAAAAAAAAAAACAGTATATATTTATAGTTCAGTGAATGTTTGGTGTTTGACCCAGCAAATTGCAGGTGGTTGTCTGTAATCCTTTGGAATAGCGCTGTATCTACTACAAATAGCTAAAGATGGTTCGAAATATCAAACCTGTCATCAATTTCTAAAATCCTTTTTAACAGTGATTGCTCTCTCTCTCTCTGATTTGGCTAAAAAAACGAGCATTTGCAGGTCAAAAGGCTGGGATCAGAATTTGTCCACAATCTTTTGATCAGTGCATCTAAGAGACGAGCACAAAGTCAGAAGCAAGATTCAAGGTGATACATGTAGCTTCATTAACGTGCTATAAAAACTAAAGATGATGAAACCTAAACAAAAACGCTCCAGGTGTCTGTTCCCTTCGTTCCAATAAAGCTCATCTCACCATGCAATCTGCTACACAAAATCCCTTCATTATTATTCCAGTTTTGACGTGGCCGCCAAGGGAACATAGACCTCATCATCAAAGAAACAAATCATGCCCAAGGGCCTCCACCTGCCTCTCTGCTCATCTCATTTCATCCTTTCATGTCCTCTTGTCTCAGCTGCATCAAACACACCTGTCAATGTAATTCCAGCCTGTTCTGCTATCTTGCTAATATAATGTCATCATCACTTGTGGAATCACACGCAGAAATTGCTGCACATGCATCACACAACTCCTGGCAAAGACACGCAGCCCACGCCCTGAACTGGGCTGTTGTCTCTTCAAATGAGGTCAATTGGCTGTGAATGTATGTAAATGGCAGCGATGAAGAGGGCAGGCTTTGTCCAAAGTAGGGCAAGAATAATGGATTTTAACATGATATTAGGATAAGCTTGCTGGAATGTGTGCCGAGAAATGGTTTGGATTGAGCGTCAGACAAACACTGACAGGTTTGTTTTATCTAAGATGAGAGTTATCTAATAAAGAAGCATGTCTAGGATGCAACAGCAAACGCAACAGGCTGAGAACCATTTTCATGCAGGGATGTGAACGAAGCTAATTGGTCAATTATTTGTGTGGAATCCTGTCATCTTTTTGGAGTAGGCACTTTCCCCATGGTCAATCAATCGATCAAGTTTATTTGTACAGCACATTTAAGCAACAAGCAACAAGTGCTTTACACCTCAAAAGCACAAATAAATAGCTGGCTCGGCTACTTTATTCAGTATTATAACCACACCTCACCTGAGAATAGGGTGGAGTAAAGAACATCAAGTTCAAAGATGAAGCGTTTCCATAATTATTAGGTAATTAATGTTGTCAAAACATGTCAGAAGCACATGTGAAAGCATCTCTGCCATCAGAGACACAATAAAGCCCCTGGATGGTTAACATACAACAGAATTAATGGAGCAACATACGACCACACTAGAGCATCCACTGAAATCGGCTACCATGGTAATGATGTGTACAAAAAAACATTTCAAATTGTTGCTATAGAGACTCAGTTGCCCCCCTCGCTCCCACCAAAGATGTCACTTTTTTTCTCTGGTTCTCCAACAGTGAGTTTTAGAGACTCACTGTAGAGACTCCTCTGCATGTGAATGGCGGCAAAATGTCTGTCATCTTACTGCCATATCCGTCACATTCCCAGTTTATTTCATTAATGTTCATCTTGGTCTGACTGTACTTGTCTTGAAAATGAACTTAAACTTGAAAATGTTTAATAACCTAAGAATGGCACTAAGGCAGACCGGTGTTCACCATCATATGTAACCTGTTTGTCTTTCCCATTTTGAAGAGAGGCTAAAAGAAATCGGCCTCAATCTCTCATCATATTTGTACACCTGGGAAACAGGAAGTCACAAATTCCTAATTGAAAGCCTTTGCACACTCTTAACAAATTTTAAAAAAGTAAAATAGAGATAAAAATGCTTCAGATAGAATGATTTTAGAAGGCCAATATGTCTTGCAGCAAGAGCTCACTTATGTTCCAAGTTGCAGTGTGGTGTTGGCTAAAAGGATGCGCAATGCCGTAATCCTGAATATTAAATATACATAATTCATTATTCTTTAGAGCAAATACAGGGTGAGCAGTACAAGAGAGGCTTCGTATCATTCCTTACCTCTTTCATCTCCTGGGAGATGGCAACAAGGCGTTCATTCTCAGACTGGGTATTGGTCAGGATGTTGCGCGTCTGCCGCAGTTCGTTCTGCAGCTCGAGGACCCTCTGCTCATAGTAGGCCTCCTTACAGGCCGACTCCTGGATCAGAGACTCCTCCCGGCTTTCCCCATCTGCTGCCACCTTCCTGTGGTTGGTGTAAGCTTGTCCAAAGGCCTAAATGTGCAGAAAATAATGTTTTAGTGCCGCAAAAATAATGTTTGATACATGGCGACCAAGAGAGTGTCACATTTTGGAATATAAGGGTCAGGAGTGGATGGAAGAAATGTTTGCTTGCGCTTCACCCGCTTTAAACTGACACTGATCTCTCCTTTAGTGGTTCACCTGAGGACTGTGGAGCAGAATCTACCAAAACACTCCCGTCGCTCAGTGGAGATTATCATTTAGGGTCCATCTGGGCTGCATCAGAGTGTCTTACCCACCAAATCCCGTCCCACCCCCTTCCTTTGGCTGCAGGATGCTGGCCTCTCCAGCACGTGCACTGCAGTGACCCCACAGATGCAAACAGGCAAACAGCAAAAGTAGAGCAAACAGACGAGTGTCTAAGTGATTGTGAAAGGACTGTTTTTAATGCTCTTTAATACCTTAGATCATAGCAAAACAGGAGAAGGTCACAAGATCAGATGAGGACAGGATCAACTTTATGAAGATTAAAAGAACAGATGACATAAAGCTCCAGCCTCTAATTTTTCTCAGCGTTAAAAGGCAACAAATTGTCATGTAATTTGAGACGAGAAAAAAATGTTTTGTCCTGTTGATACAACTTTAATGTGTTATTAGCCTGCAAGGCAGAAACACCAAACCAATGGAAGAGACAGACCTTCATCACAGCGGGAACCAGGTTAGGGCACGCACTGCTTTCTCAAACTAATCACCCGTCTGATAACAGATTTCATTTTCAATCCCGTAACTGTCGTTTGGGTGGAGATATTCTCTTTTATCTCTCCTCGTAGCGGGTGTGCACACAGTAATCTAAAAATCACAGGAGATAAAGAACATGACCTTATTTGCCTCTCTTTCTGTGACCAGCTATTGCAATTGGCTGCTGGCAGGCTGCTGCATTGTATGAATCCCAGTGGTTGCTTCTAAGCAAGCAAGAAAAAGAAAAAAAAACACTTTTATATTTGTATTTGTCAAACTGACCTACTTGCAGAACCTGGACAAATTTGTGCATTCGTAAAACAGGAGATTGTGGAAAAGTTTTGTGCAATACGACTAACCGATGGCTCCCAGTCATGCAGAAATTCAGATGGAACAGGGTTTCAGGGCATTATAAATCTGGTGGGCCACCAGGCGTTATTTGTGACCCCATCAGGTTAGGCATTACTTATTTATTTAAGTCTTTTTAAAATGTTTGCATTTTTTAAGACTAATTTTCCAATCTTTCAATAAAACATAATTATCAAATGATATTTTCAAATTTCATGTCAACTTTAAACATTGTCTAACTCAAAATCACAACGGGCCACTGGATGACTGACTTTGCCAACGCCCAACCACCGGGTTTAGCAGGTTTTATGGAGAAAACCTTGTGGAAGAATAGATTAAACCTCTCTTAAGGTTCACACCATCTGCTAACAGATCCTCATCGACACACCTTCCAGAGGTAAACCACAACTTATTAAATCATTGCCACAACTTGCTGAAAGGAGTTAAGGAATGTCCCAACGGTTTTTTTTATTTGCCAACATGGTAGAAACAATCTTACCAATGAGATAAAATACAAAGATTAGAACAAAAAAGAAACATAAACTTCTGTGGCAAACATCCAAACTTTCTCATTCTCTTTACTCTAATATGGAACATAAAGGACCATTGATGATATTGTTTTCTATCATTCCTGCTTTGAGCGTTAACTAATTACTTTACGGGAAGAGGTGTGTGTGAAGGAGAAAGATGTTACTGTGAAACAGTATTTTTGCTAAAATAAGATGCTTGATTGTTTTTAGCAACTTATATCATTGATCAGCGTGGCGAGGGTTATTAAAATAGTCTGTACATTCTTTTGGAAATGTTTCAAAAAGGGTGCAAGCATGTCTAACACTTTGCCATCAGATTCACAGACTTAAAACTCGAAAAGATAGAATGGAGTTTCCTGTATTCCGTTTAGCCTTCATGTTATCTACTAAAGTCTTGATCTTTCTTGTAGCCACAATGAACTGCAGAAACGTTACACAACATGTGGAATATATTTTCCTTTTAAACAGCTTCTTACAGCTTTAGTGCTTCCTGATTTATTTTATGAACGCTTCACTGACGTTGAAATGTAACCAACGCAAACTCCTGTTTGCTCTGTAACAGCACCCACACTGAAGAGTGTTCCTATCAGCTGGACCTTGCAGAATGAGGAGGTTGCATCTGTTTATTAAAATCTTTAGTTTCTGACTAGCTAACTAGGAGAACTTCAACCACTATCCATCAACAGAAAATGTCTCTGTATATCTCGAGTATAAACAATCTCCTACCTATGTGGAGGTGGTTGGTTGGTAAATATATAACCAGTAGTGGGGATTTTATAGAAAGCCTGTGTAGGTCAATAGACAATTTGTGCTTTAAATTGTGGATTACTGTGTGTGTCCTAAATGTCTTTTCAAACTGTGCCACATGCCAAGGAAATCATATCAATAATCAGCAGGGGGCCGTGTTTGATTAAAATGTTATTAAACACACAGGAACCAATCAAAACCAGGGGGAATCTCATCATTATAATCTTAAAGCAGGCTTGGTTTCTGAGGGGACAATCAGTCCAATCTAAAGAAGGCTATCACTGAAGCAAACAGAGTCCCCTGCCAAAACCCCACTGACCCATTGAATTTAATCTCAGTTCCCCACAGGGGCAAGAGTTTAGGCTACTTTTGAGGGAGGGAACACTGATTGCACGTGGCCAAGGCTGTAATCTCCCAGTGAGCGGCCAACTCATTTTATAATTCATCTTTATCCGACCATATGTTGCAGTTGTGCTGGTTTTTATAAGCTGGACTGCAATTCAAAAGCCAAAGTGCAGAACCGTAATGATTTTCACGTGTCTGAGGAGAAGATTACTGAACTCTGGTCTAGTTTTGATTTGCTCAACTTTTCAGAATCATGCCTTCCTCAAACAATTTCACACATAAGAGCTGAAGATCAGTGTGTTGAAGGGAATCACAACAGACTGCTGCGTGGGTGAACTGATACAAACTATCAGAAGGAGGAAGTGTGACGCTATTTTTATAATTTAGTTTTACATGAAGTCTTCTTCGGGCGGTGGTTTGTTTTACAGATTTAAACTTGGAAACAAACACTGCAACTTAGCAAGAGTTGCTATGAAAGACACATGGCTCAACAAGGCGGGACTCGTGATGCAGCATGTCGTCTGATCTGAACAATGTTGCAACCTTCAAAGAGAAATCTGCTGATTAAAAGGTTGGGAAAATGACAGGACACACAGGCTTCGGTTATATATAAAAAAAAAAAAAACATTTCTCACTTTACATGGAAAAGAAACGAAACGCAGATGAAACACAGACCAAAGCATGGTGTTTGTTTTTCTAACACAGAAGCATTCTGTTTATGATTCACTTGACCTGCAAGGCAAGTACACAGCGGGGGAGGGGAGGTGCAGGGCATCGGGGTCTTGCAGGTAAAAATGGATCAATACATATCTCAGAGGCACAGTGGAGCTGAAATACACATTTATCGTTTTATTTTATTTTCCTGTTTTCCTGGCTAAGATGGTGCTTGTAGGTGTGAATCAAGCACAGAGGTCATAAAATACTGCTAGCCTCTCGATATAGCTAACACGAGTGAATCAGTAAGAAAACACCTAAAACCCACTCATAGCACCTATGATATAATCTAGAGGGAAGCTCTTCAAAATCTGAGAAATAGATTACAGCTGACTTCGATGCAATCACTGGATTACCGTGTATGACTGAGAATTTGTGGGCTCACAGACGTAGACATGCGCTAATGTAATAAACTGACATTCTGGCAGCGTCTGTAGTGTGGGCTGATGCTGAGCTGAGATTTTCGTCTCCTCAGCAGCATTCTTGGGCTCTGAGAGCCTGTAGCGAATGCTAAACAATAACGCTCTGTGGTGTCGACCGGTTCTATTTCTCAATACGCAGAAGGCTGGAGAGCCGGGGTCAACTCTGGATGCCAAAGCAGTGATTCAGCAACCCTGAAGGCTGATCAGTGGTAGGGTTCTCATTGTATGCAACTGCAGAGAAAGCGAGGAGCAGCGAGGGACAAAAAACAACAACAAAAAAAAACAGCAAATACACACACACTGAATAGAACCTCCTGCCTCGTGAGTCTCAGCTCACGTGGAGTCATAAACTGTGATGATAAATAGTCCTGCTCGTTTCCTTCCTCTTCCCTTTGGACTAAATTCGCAGGCCACTGCGCATCCAGTGAGTTTAACACAAATTGCTCCGAGCTCTGTGTTAATTCTATATTTAGCTGGCCATGTCTCTAGAGGGATGGAGTTCAAATGTGTCCGACAAGCTTGTGGTTTCCAGAGAATGACCCACTACTCTATACCAAGCAGACTTATTTTTCATTTTTTTTGTCTGGGATTTAAAACCTCTTCAGTGATCCACCAATCAGAATTTTAAGGTCAACTCCAAACTTCTGTTTTTGGTTAAGTTTTGACTTGTCAGTAGAGATTTTAGCTGATTACCATTCTCTTTTAGAACAATAAGAAAATATGAAGTGAGAATTACAAAAAAAAAATCTTTAAAGGCCTTTTTGCCATTTGTCATTACAATGAAGATAAAATGAAGAATTGACATTTTAATTTATAATTAGGAGCTTAGCGTAACTAGCATTACTGCAGACCAAATGAACTGCAGAAATATCCTGTAGGAAATGGATTCTTTATTAATGTACTTCTCATGACTTTATTGTTCAACACAATACTGAAGCTGAACATATTCAACACAAACAACATTATGAGTTGACGACAAACAAAAGCATTTTTTGTCTGTTACTGCACCTCTTATAGTGTTTATTTATGGTGGCTTCAGTGACAGTGACTGGAAAAAGTTTGTATTTTGGACTTTCCAAGTGGCTGGTCATCAGTCAGGGTCAATCCAGCTGAAGATCAATCACTTTTAGCCATTTTGGTACATTTTCACTCTACATGCAATTCATGTAGGATGTAAAACATGTAACAC